GGCTCGAGGTTACCCAAATCAACCGAATATCTACCACCTTCCATCTTAAAAATGTAACAAATATTAATTTGCAACAAATATACTAATGAATACAAAAGTAATGCAACTAATTAAAACTATTTTAATTAAAACTTTAAACTAATTTAGTGAAAACTACTTTAATAAAATGTGAAGTACTTTAATTAAGTAGTGAATTAAAGTGTGACTCTAAAATACAAATTAAAATTCGAACTAATCAATAGTATTTTTCAATAAATAGTTAAATACTTAAAACTAACAAGTGTGACTTTAACTAAAATGTAAGTAATTAAATTATAGCAACTTTTCAAGTACTTTAATTTAGTGAAAACTACTTTAATAAAATGTCAAGTACTTAAATTAAATGATTAAACTACTATTTTTCGTTCAAATATAAATTCAAACTATTATAATGTGACTTTAACTATAATGACAATTAACTAGTTTTTAAAGTAGAGTTGTTTTAGCAATTAATGGGAATACTAATTAACTAAATAACTAGTATAATGAAAAATGTAACAATTAATGGGAATACTAATTACCTAATTAACTAGTATAATGAAAAATGTAACAATTAATGGGAATACTAATTAACTAATTAACTAGTATAATGAAAAATGTAACAAAAATACTAATTAACTAATTAACTAGTATAATGAAAAATGTAACAATTAGTGGGAATACTAATGAACTAATCAAGTAATGTTAATACAAAATGCAAGTAATAAGACAAATGTATGAATGTGTATAGTAATTAATGGGAGTAAATGAGTAATAGAATGATTTTAAGTCATATTAATTAAAGTGTAACTAATATATAATATATTGTTTATAGTATATGATATATAAGTATACTACTATAACATGAGTAATACACTTATATTTAATACTTTAATATATAAACTATATATTAAGTAGATGTAGAATGTATGTATTAAGTAGATATAAGTAGATAATTAATATATAAGTAGATATAATAATTGTATAAGAATTAAATAGTAAAGTATACTGGAGATTGGAGAATAAGAAAATAAGTAGATATGAAATATAAGTAGAGAAGTAGATATTATTATGAACTAATAGTTTATAAAGTATATTTAATACTTTAATATATAAAGTATATATTAATTAAGTAGATGTAGTATGTATGTATGTATTAACTATTAAGTAGATATAAGTAGATAATAAGTAGAGATTAAGTAGATAAGAAATATAAGTAATAGTATATGTATTTATAAGTAGATAATTAATATATAAGTAGATATAATAATTGTATAAGTATTAAATAGTAAAATAAAATATAATGGCCAATAAGAGAATTTGAGAAGATGAATATGGAGATGAGTAGAGAGTAGGATTTAGAAAGAGTTGGAGAAGAAGTGTGAAAAAATGTTTAAAATTAGGTGTATTTATAGGGTTTTTTTAACCCCCACCCCCCAAAAGCCCCGGACCTCCCTTTGTACCCACCCAACGGCTATATAGCCGTTTGGGAAGTGGGTCAACAGCCAAAAAGCTCTTTACAAAAAAATGGATTTTTTTTTTAAATTATGGTCGTTAGGCTCGGACCCGGGTAGTGACATTTCTACATAATGGTTATTATAAGTCCTACTTAGGGCTAATGGCCCGAACCGGCACCGGCCATAGCCTGGGCCGGTCCCGGGCCTACCTTTAACTAACCCGAGGCCCGACCGGGCCTTGGCCTGGCCCGACCCAGGTCCATCACTAATCAGCCATTTTTCCCACCAACCCTATCATCCTTTTTTAGTGACAATGATAGGAACCAGGCATATTAGTATAATAATAACCGTAACAGAATGATACTCTGTAATCTGTATTAAATAATTGTGGTAGTGTAGAAAGAAGGGTTCCAGGCCATGTAATTCATGGGTTTGGGCCGGCCCTTTAGAATAGAATCAGTATAAGAGTGGGAAGAAGAAAATAAGGGGGTAGGCTGGAATTCTGTTAGAATTGGGATGGGAGAGCGGGACCTTGAAGAGTCCCAACTATCTGTTTCTTCTCTTTCTTATGATTTCCGCCATTGTAACTCTGAGACCTTCATCAATACACTACTAATTTCTGCTGTTTTGATTGAGTCTCTATCATCGGTATCAGAGCACTCGCTCCTGGAGTCTGAATCGATCAGAGTATGGACAATATTGAACATCATTTGAAGGAGATGAGAACGATGAAGGACGAGTCACTGGACAGGATGCACAATGGGTTGCTTCAAATTCGTCACAGGCGACATTGAGGTTTGATCGAGGACAGTCAAGAGACGTCGACTGTCGGAAAGTAAGGACTCAGCATCGCCATTTGTCATTTTTCCTAGTTCGCAGTCTTGAACAACTTCTCCCAGTTGAGGGCCTTCCCGGTGAAATTTTTCGATGAAATTTTTTGAGCATATTTTTCATCAAGTCTAGTACATCCATACCAAATATAAGCAAAAAATTCAATCGGGAAGGCAGTCAAATGATTTTTGGAAGATAACTGCACCCTTTATATACATATAAAACGCAGTTATCTTCCAAAAATCGTTTGGCTGCCTTCCCGATTGAATTTTTTGCTGAAATTTGGTATGGATGTACTAGACTTGATGATGAACATGCTCAAAAAATTTCATCGAAAAATTCCACCGGGAAGGCCCTCAAAACGTGGAGGACGCACGGCGGCTCTGGTAAGGTATACCTTACCGGAAAGATTTCCTTATATATATATATATAGAGTCCCGTTCCTATCAGGAGCTCCTGAAGAGAAGCCCCATGCGGACAAGCCCATCAGAGGGTCTTCCCGGTGGAATTTTTTGATGAAATTTTTTGAGCATGTTCCTCATCAAGTCTAGTTTGTCCATACCAAATTTCAGCTCAAAATTCGATCGGGAAGGCAGTTAAATAAATCCTGGAAACATACTGCACTTTATATGTGCGTAGAATGAGCCATAGTTTTCCATATGGCATATATATGTATTTTCCGGACCAGTTAACTTGCAAAAATCATTTGACGACCTTCCCGATTGAATTTTTGGCAGAAATTTGGTATGGATGAACTAGACTTGATGAGGAACCTACACAAAAAATTTGAGCAAAAAATACCACCGGAAAGGCCCCCAAATGGAGGAGGCCGGACGGGGCTCCGGTCAGGTATACCTGACCGGAAGACTACTCTCTCTCTCTCTCTCTATATATATATATATATATATGTATGTATGTATATGTATGTATGTATATAAACAGAATAGTTGGGAGGGAGAATGGGTGGGAATACTGTAGCAATATGGGTGGATAATTGTTGAAATGTGAAGAACAATACACTGAACGATTTTGGGTGTATAAATGCTGTAGTGGGATTTGCCAAAAAAATGCTGTAGTGGGAACACCAATACACTGCCCCAGATAGAGTGGCAGCTCTAAAAATGATTGTTGTTCCCGAAGAGTCGACATCCACTTCAAAATAAATTTAGATCAATAAAAAAATGCCAAGATATCATTCCAAAGAAAATGCATAAATACAATTGAAATTCACTTAAGACAAACAGACAGAAACACATTATCATGGAATTAAAGCTTTCACGCCCTACTAAGTGACGGTTAGTATTCTAATAGAAGCACCTTTTGTTGTTCATCCTATAAAACGGGACGATACAAAGCACATGATCACTAATGATCGGCCTCTTAAGCAAGAAGCTCCTTTCATTGATAGTCTTCAACAAATGTATCTACCTGACTACCTCCATTTGATAAGAATACACAGTACACCACCTGCAAAATCAATGATCATTTATGCAACAGGGATAAGGTAAAATTACTTTTACTGATTTATCTTAGTGTTATATATTTTTCCCATGGTGCGGGAATGCTATAAATCAAGCACCCTTGAAGTTTTTTTTGGAATGTGCTGTTTTACCTTTTCCTTCAAAAGACCTTCTGAAATACATTTGACACTTCTTTTGTATCATTTCCTGTGAGCTATCAAAGGGGGAAATGCGGAGTACAATTTTTCGAACTATTGTACATTTGGACTTAAAATGTATGCCCAACTTTATACGGAGTATGATGTTTCCTTCTATTCTATTACACTAAATATAATAGAATAGAAAAAAATAACTTTTTGAAAACACAGATACAGTTATTTAGATTCAACACATTTTGTTGGGGAAGATTGAGAAATGCCGGATGCATATGCCAACACAGTTTTTATTGTCCTTAATCTGCAAAAAGTGAGCTCTCTCAAATAGATTTAATATATTGTTTTGAAAGATGTGCTGTATCTAAAAGAGTGATATATCCAATGTCCTACTCAACTGAATTTTCTTCAAAGAACTACATGGGCATCTTTTCCTATTGGTTTTAACCTCGCTAGAACAGATCATGTTTAATAGAGATCACTTTTCTTTGCAAAAAAATCTGTTAGACATTATAACACTTTAGACGCTCACATAATAAATGCTCCGTATGCAGTAGATAAATATTGCTATTGTACAGTACTCATATCATAATCATAATCTATATAAGTGTGTATCCATATTATTGAATATACATATGCAATTAATTAGTACAGTTAGTAACATCCATTTGATGTAAGCAGAGTAGTTAGCATGTGTGAGCAACCCTCCACCTATAACCTTTGATTTAGAAAAGATTGTTCATGTATAGTGTATACTGACGAATTAAAATGTAAGTAATAGAAATATTCGTTTACCAAAAAAAAGTAATAGAAATATTCTAAAGATATATTACCGATGTCGATTATTTTGAATTTAAGACTCGGGCTTTAATTGTTTTCACGCCGCCGTATAGATCAAGTGAAATAATTGGGTTTAAGCCGATGTTTTTAAGCTGATAGGGACCCGGGCACTACAAATAATAAGAGTCTATTAACTATTTTAATGTTTTTCAATAATAGGGTTCTAGGCCCAATAATTTAAGTGAGGGCCGGCCCTTTAGTTTTATTATAAAAGGGGTAGGGGAAAGAATAACGCAGGGAGAACTTGGGATCTGGGATCGGGAAATTGGAAGTGTGAGGCCACTAGAAGAGTCTCAACCTCTTCTTACGTTGTTTTTATGTCTTCCTTCATTAAACGTTAATAAATTTTTTCCTATTATCTTCTGTGATTGTTCCGGTACCTATCATTAATATCAGAGCCCACGATCGCTGCACCTTGTATGGTTCTCACTCGATCGAACATGGAGCAGCGGATAACTAATCTGGAGATATCGTTGGAATGGTCTGGGGCAGATATGCGCGCTGAGATGAAAGCTATGATGGATGAGAAATTGCAGATGCTGTTAGAGAAGATGGAACGTCTCGAGACCCAAAGCAGTCGCAGGCAGATAAGGGGACGATCGAGGAACCCTAGTCGTCGTATACTCGTATGAAGTTTGAAAACCATGTCTTATCCTCGTCGCCAACTTCATCGCAAGCACAAGATCCCCGTTTGCAGGCTTCTTCACTAATCGATGCTCACAGTTCCTCTTCGCGAACGGCCTCAACCTCCTCGCAGTTGTTGTCGCAAATCAATCCTCACATAAGCCTGGACCAGGTTGGCTCCGAAAATGGATTGCCGGGAATTCCGCCTTCAAAATTAAACAAGGGGTTGAAGACAGCTGCACCGTCAGTCCAGGAGCGAAGTCTGGAAGATGATATGATCCCACCTGATAATCAGGAGCTTTTGAAACTGCAGGAGGAGAAAGCCGAGGAAATTATTTCAGGTAAAGTGGAACCTGACAAATTGGAGTCTTGCTTTTTGTATATCCAGACGACTGGAACAGCCAATAGCTCTGATTTTAAGTCTAATCAGTTTGAAGATAGAGTTCATAGACAATGGAAAGAGAATGCTTTCAACATATACATTTTTTGTGCAAAGGATACCTCAGCTGCAGTTAGTTGGCCAAACTTGAATCAAAGTTTGCATCCAGTTTCATCTGCGGTGAATGGAAAGTATGAGGCAGTTCAGGAAATACAGATTGCTATTGTTTATTACCTTGAAAGAACTGGTGGAAGCGAAGAGAAGCCATATGAGAGGAAAAATGGTGAGTCTTACACAGCCTACTGAAAATGAGAATGGCTGCTATAAGGAATCAAATAAGATGATGACTAAGGGTAATCAAGAACAGAATGAGAGTTATGCATATGATAGACACACGCAGCTACCAACTAAATACTTTGACAGAGTGTACAAAAGAAAGAATAAAGAAGTCTGTTAGTAAACAATCTGTTAGTTTGTTAGTCAGTTTGGTTATTCCCTGCGTGGATAAGCTGTCTATAAATAGAAGTGATTTAGCTATTTTTGGTAGGCTGTTAGACTTGTTGACTGGCTTGTTGGAGACTGGGCATCTCGAACTGTCCCCCCTAATCCCTGTACTCAGTTCTTGTTCTCAGATATCAATAAACCCTAATTCTCTCAATTCTTACTACTTGTGATTGATATACTGTTTGAAATTGTTCTGATTTATCCAGTGTTCTATCATTGGTATCAGAGCGTCTTTTCTGGTGACCTGATTTCTTGTTGAAATCGAGAATTTTTTTTGGTTCTTACGGTGAATGGTGCGAACCAGAGCAAAAATGGAACAGAAGATGGAGGTGATGGAGCGTAACCAAAATACGACGCAAGAAACCTTGATTCAGATGCAAGCTGCGATCGCGAAACTAACGGAGAAACCTCTGGATACGATGAACGATGAAAGGCGCGAAAGAAGGAGATCGCGATCGCCACAAACTCATCGATCGAGAAACTCGAGTAGTCCGAGTCATTCCAGAGGTAATTCTACTCATTCTCATGTTCAAAATCACAGACGAAGAAATGAGGATTATAGAAACCCTATACAGTCTGGTAGGAAGATTGACTTACCCTTGTTTAATGGAACTGGTGCATATAATTGGGTTATACGCATAGAAAGATATTTCAGACTGAATAATATTGATGAGGAAGAAAGGGTTGAAGCATCTATGGTGGCAATGGAGGATAGGGCTTTAAACTGGTTTCATGTGTGGGAAAGTCAAACTGAAGTAACTGATTGGGAGACCCTAAAGAAATCTGTCATACGTAGGTTTCAACCAGAATTAATTCAGAATCCATATGATCATTTGTTAAGTCTGAAACAAACAGGATCTGTACAGGATTATAGAGATGAATTTGAAATGGTGATTTCTCATCAGAAAAACAAAGACAGAGAGCTGTTGAGGGGTGTTTTCATTAAGGGTTTGAAGAATGAAATCAAAGCAGAACTGAAACTATATGTCTCAAAATCCTTGACTGAAATTATGGAGAAGGCTACTTTGATAGAACTAAAAAATGATGCAATACAGTTGAAAAGAATGGAGGAAGACAGATATGGGAGAAAAGAAAAGGGTGCTTATGTTAACAAATATCATTCTGAAGGAGATAATTACAAAGCCCGGGCTAGTAACTCTTGGTACAGTTCTATGGGGAAAGGTGCAGGGCAGTACAAAGGAGAGTCTTCTGGGGTAAAATCTATGGGGAAGAACATCACAGAGATCCAACCTTCTGCATTCAAGAAGGTGGGCCCACAGTTATCTCAAGAAGAATATCAGAATAGAAGCAGAAAAGGACTTTGCTTTAAATGTGGAGACAAATGGAATCACCAACATATTTGTAAACTAAAACACTACAAGTTGATCATGGTAGAAGATTCAGCAGAAGAGGATGATTCAGATGATTCAGAGGATCCTAGTTCAGAGGAGGAATAGATCTTGATGGAATCCAAATCCATGCAACTGTCCTTGATGAGCAAAGAAGGTATTCCTTCTTTAAGAGCATTCAAAGTCAGAGGTATTGTCAAAGGAGCATGGGGAGAAGTAAATGTGGAAGTATTGATTGATAGTGGAGCTTCACATAATTTCATTGATCAGAAGATGGTGGATAAACTATTGATAGTGGAGCTTCACATAATTTCATTAATGGTAGTGGATACACTACCATTAATGGTTATAAGGTACAGATAGGAAATGGGGACAAGGTATGCAACAATGCGAGATGTGAGTCATTAAATGTATGCTTGCAGGGCACAGCAGTGCAGCAGGATTTTTATATCCTAGAGTTGGGAGGCACTGATTTGGTATTGGGAATAGCTTGGCTGATTACTTTGGGAGATGTTGAGATTAATTTCCAAAGGCAGTCAATAAAGTGGAAAGATAATGGAGAAGTAAAGTGGATTCAAGGGGATAAACAGTTCAACTCTATGGAGGTGTCTTTCAGGACAACAACACAAATATTGCAGGATGCTGGGGAAGGGTATTTCATTTATTGTGAAGGCAATGTCAAAAGAGAACAAGAGGAAAATGAGGAGGAGGACACCTGGAAGAAGATACAGGCTGAATTTCCTGACATTTCTCAACCTTTGAAGACACTACCACCTAAGAGAGCTTGTGATCATGCTATAAAGATACAAGAAGGAGCAAAAATTCCAAATCTAAGGCCATATAGATACCCCCAGTACCAGAAGACTGAAATAGAAAGAATTATACAAGAAATGCTATCTGAAGGAATCATCCAGCCAAGTAACAGTCCCTATAGCAGCCCCATTCTCCTAGCAAGAAAGAAAGATGGGGGCTGGAGGTTCTGTGGGGACTACCGAGCTTTAAACAAGATCACAATACCTGATAAATTCCCTATACCCATCATAGAAGAACTACTTGATGAACTCGGTGGAGCTATGATTTTTTCCAAGTTGGATCTGAAATCTGGTTATCACCAGATTAGAATGAGAGAAGAAGACAGGCAGAAGACAGCATTCAGGACCCATGAGGGCCATTACGAATACCTAGTAATGCCTTTTGGTCTCACAAATGCACCCTCAACTTTTCAAGCCCTCATGAACCAGGTTCTTAGACCTTATTTGAGGAAGTTTTCACTAGTTTTCTTCGATGACATCCTCATATATAGCAAATCAAGGACAGATCATAAGGAACATTTGAGAAAAGTTTTGCTAGCATTAAAGGAAAATCAGTTGGTTATAAATTCAAAGAAGTGTTCTTTTGGCAAATCTCAGTTAGTCTATTTGGGTCATATTATTTCTGGTAAGGGTGTAGCTGCAGACCCTACTAAGATTGAGGCTATGATTCAATGGCCAATACCTAAAGATTTAAAGGGATTAAGAGGTTTCCTTGGACTGACTGGGTATTATAGAAGATTTGTCAAAGGGTATAGTCACATCGCTTTACCTCTAACTCAACTTCTGAAGAAAGACAAGTTCCATTGGGGACCATCAGCAACTTTGGCATTTGAAGAACTCAAGAAAAGAATGACTACTTTACCAGTTCTGGCTACACCTGACTTTGATAAAGTTTTCATCCTGGAGACTGATGCATCAGGAACAGGCCTGGGGGCAGTTTTGATGCAAGAAGGGAGACCAATTGCATATATGAGTAAGGAATTATCAAAGAGGAATCAGCAGAAATCTGTTTATGAAAGAGAGTTAATGGCAGTGGTTTTGGCAGTTCAAAAGTGGAGGCCTTACCTTCTGGGGAGAACTTTTGAGATACATACATATCAAAAGAGTTTGAAGTTTCTAACAGAGCAAAGATTGATGGGGGATGAGCAACAAAAATGGACATCAAAGTTATTAGGGTATAACTTCACTATCAGATATAAGCCAGGAAAAGAAAATAAAGCAGCTGATTCTTTATCCCGGATACCTTATATGAAAGCCTTATCCATTGTTACTTGCCAGGAGTGGGAAGGTTTAGAAGAAGAATTGGAAGCAGATCCTAAGTGTCAAAGTCTGATTCAAAAGACTATATCTCAGCCAGACCAGTACAAGGATTATAAGATTTCCAAGGGTTTCTTATATTATAGGGACAGACTAGTATTACCTAGTTCATCTACCAGAATTCCTAAGATATTGCTGGAATATCATGCCACAGCTATGGGGGGCCACTCAGGTTACTTCAGAACTATGAAGAGGATATCCAACTTGTTTTATTGGCAAGGAATGAGAAAAGACATACAGAAATATGTGGAGGGTTGTGCAGTATGTCAGACTAATAAATATCAGGCTTTGAAGCCTTCTGGGTTGCTACAACCCCTGCCAATTCCAAGCAACATTTGGACAGACATTACTATGGATTTTATAGGTGGTTTACCTAAATCGGAGGGAAAGGACACTATTTTAGTAGTGGTAGACAGACTGACTAAATATGCTCACTTCATAGCAATGTCACACCCTTTCAATGCTAAAGAAGTGGCAGAAGTTTTTACCAAGGAGGTGGTCAAAACTCATGGGTTTCCTAAGACCATAGTCAGTGACAGGGATAGTATCTTTATGAGTTCATTTTGGTCTGAAATTTTTAAGTTGGCTTGCACACAACTTAAATACAGTACAGCATACCATCCTCAGACTAATGGCCAATCTGAGGTGGTCAACAGATGTTTAGAGACTTACTTAAGGTGTTTGACTGGTAACAAACCGAAACAGTAAACTCAATGGCTGCATTGGGCTGAGTTTTGGTACAACACCAACTTCCATGCCTCTTTAAAACAAACACCTTATCAGGCCTTATTTGGACAAGAACCTCCTGCAGTAATTAGGGGAGATGTGAATCTAACTTCTGTAGAGGAGGTAGCCAGACTCACTGCACAAAGAAACAGTATGTTGGATGAACTAAAGGAGAATCTTACCAAAGCACAAAATCAAATGAGACAACAAGCCAATGAACACAGAAGAGAAGTGCAGATTGCAGTTGGAGATTTGGTATATTTGAAAATTCAGCCTTATAAGCTAAGGAGTTTGGCTAAGAGGTTGAATCAGAAATTAAGCCCCAGGTTTTATGGTCCTTTTGAAGTGATGGAGAAGATAGGTGAAGTGGCATTCAAACTAAAACTGCCTGAGAAAAGTAGGATACACCCTGTTTTCCATGTTTCTTTATTAAAGAAGGTGATATCTCCTACAACATTCTTTCAACCCTTACCCAAATGCTTGAAGGAAGACTTGGAATTGCAAGTAACACCTGAGAAGGTGTTGAATGCCAGGATAAACAAAGAAGGACATACTGAAGTATTGATAAAGTGGAAGGAACTACCAGACTTCGAAAATTCTTGGGAGACTGTGCAAGAGATGAAGAAATACTTCCCAGAGCTTCACCTTGAGGACAAGGTGATATTCCGGGGGGGAGTATTGATAGACACACGCAGCTACCAACTAAATACTTTGACAGAGTGTACAAAAGAAAGAATAAAGAAGTCTGTTAGTAAACAATTTGTTAGTTTGTTAGTCAGTTTGGTTATTCCCTGCGTGGATAAGCTGTCTATAAATAGAAGTGATTTAGTTGTTTTTGGTAGGCTGTTAGACTCGTTGACTGGCTTGTTGGAGACCGGGCATCTCGAACTGTCCCCCCTATTCCCTGTACGCGGTTCTTGTTCTCAGATATCAATAAACCCTAATTCTCTCAATTCTTACTACTTGTGATTGATATACTGTTTGAAATTGTTCTGATTTATCCAGTGTTCTATCAGCATATCCATCATCGTCTAGGGCAAACAACCTTGAACAGGCTACTACCATATTAGGAGTATATCTAGATGCACCTATTGTAATCTAACTACCTACTTTGTACTGTTGAGTTACGGTTAGTTAGTTAGCTATATCTAGAAGCTTCTTGTATGTCTATAAATACTCTGTAAGATTACAGACTTGATCAATAAGAAATTCAGTTGTTCTCTTCTTCAGTTTATCAACATGGTATCGAGAGCTTGATTTTTTTCCCGATCATGGCGCCTGGTTCTTCCGCCAGAAATAATTCTTTTCCGACGACATTCTCGCATCCGCTTCCACTCAAGCTGGATTTCAACAACTACCTTTTCTAGAAACATCATGTAGAATCGTGATTCGAGCTCACAATCCAAATAGGAAGGTTTTGCCACTTTATGTATCGGAGCTGAAGTATTGGGAAGGAAGGGGCGCGAGGCTGAAGTTGAATGGCATGGTTTTTTCTTACTCCCCACCTTGAGGACAAGGTGGAAGTTCAGGGGGAGTGATGATAGGGACTCGGGCACTACAAATAATAAGAGTCTATTAACTATTTTAATGTTTTTCAATAATAGGGTTCTAGGCCCAATAATTTAAGTGAGGGCCGGCCCTTTAGTTTTATTATAAAAGGGGGTAGGGGAAAGAATAATGCAGGGAGAACTTGGGATCTGGGATTGGGAAATTGGGAGTGTGAGGCCACTGGAAGAGTCTCAACCTTTTCTTACGTTGTTTTTATGTCTTCCTTCATTAAACGTTAATAAATTTTTTCCTATTATCTTCTGTGATTGTTCCGATACCTATCAGCCGGCTTCTAAATGTGAATTGGATAGAATATTGGCATAAAATATGGGTATCAATTGGAAACAATACCTATTTTGAAGCATATATCTAGACTACATACTCTGTGAAATAAACATCAAACCGTCGACAGGAGTCTGGAAATGAATGGGTGAGGAAAGTAGTGAATAAGTGGTTAGGGTCTTATGGATGTAACATTGACATCAAAATTGGTTTTTTGTTTCAGGTCGGCGAAGGAAGTGCATTTTTTGAATTTGCATTTTTTTAAGGATGCATTTTATTTTTAAAAAAATTGGTAGTAATTATAAATTGCAGTTTACGTGTACAACCAAAATATATTTAGTAATTTATAACTTATTGAACGGAATATTAGTTAACTTAGCTATATTGAATAAAATATACAATTATATTTTATGGTATGATTTTGTTGTTCTATTTTATAAACCCTTAAAATGCATGGATTTTGATTGAGATTAAGATTCGGCCCGGGCCATATTCATTTCAATGGATTTTCTATTTCTAGAACACTGCCAATTTGTGTGAAGAACTAAGATTGTATTTTATAATTATAAAAAGCAAAATTGAGAAGAATGATGATATGATGCATTATTAAAGAAACAATAAAACTTGACATGATAACACAGTAACACTACATACAAGTGATACAACTTGATAAAAGTTTCTCTCCCATTCCAAAGCGCCTTCAATTCTCATAAGATTTACAATTCATCAAAATATGTCTTAGAATTAAATGTTGTCTAATTCTAAGAGCTTTAAAAAGTTATCATTGATAACAAAGAAGTATATTAAGCAAATATGACTCATCTAGCGCTAGACCAATAAAAATGAATGTCACATGATCATTCTGAAATGCTTGGTGTACACTATTCACACATTTTGTTTGTCTACGCAGGTCAAGTTGCCTGTACACGACAAAATTGTCTGTGTAGACAGATAAAGTGTGCGAATGATCAAATTAGGTACTTGGCAAATAAAGGCTGCATTAAGATGCTCTATGATCTCTTGTTCTGTCAAGATCCAAGAATTGTTACTATATGCCTTGAATAGTGGGGGTCAAGTTATATGCACAGATGGTTGATGATTATCAAGAACTAGACAAGACTGCAAATTTCCAGATTCAGGACAACAATGAGATCTATGAAAAGGCTGTGAAGAGTGAAGACCTTAGAGATATGCTGGTCTGAGGAAGTGATGATGAAGGTTCAAGTACTAAAAATCAAATTCCAACTACCAGTGAGATACTAGGAAGGTAGAGGCGCAAGGATGAAGATGATGGTTAGGGTTGTTTCCTATCACCCACCTTGAGGACAAGGTGGTTGTCTATGGGGGGAGATATGAGAAGAACCGGGCATATTGGTACAATAATAATAGTAACAGAATGATACTCCCTCCGTCCCAATTTGTTTTGCAAAATTTCCTTTTTTGGTTGTCCCAAAATGAATTTCCACTTTCCATTTTAAGTATAACAATACAGCTAAAGTGACAAGTTTGCCCTCCTGCCTTTTAATCTTTCGCACCACCCATCATCATTTCCACCCACCTTCTCTTACCACCGTACTATCACTTTCTCTCCCAAATTCCAATACAAAGCACAACTATCTTCATGAATGGTGTCTCAATCCTTCTCCATGGACAGACTCCTTTTAGAGAAGACGGGCAAACGAAGGGGGCACCGACTCAGAAGAAAAATCAACGCCTAAAGATCCTTCGATCTGACATGCTTCGTTGACCCAGTTCATCGCATGTGAGTCGCCGCCGCCGCGACGCCGCCCTCGAAGAACCTCACGGATAAATCACCACTGCCCTCGTCGAAATAAATATTAGCGCCGCGGGTCGAATTATTGAAGCTGCGGATACCGGCTAGTCGGTTGGAAACTTGATGTATCTGTCAAAGAAGGTGGAGATGTTCTTGAACAAAGACAGGACGCCAACAATCACTGCTCTCGCCATTACCTTTCCCCTGTTTCAATTTTTTCCAATAAGCCATGTAGAAAGACGAATAATAATGCACATCATATTCTCTGACAACAGTTGTACTTGATTTAAAAAAAATAGTTTTCCAATATCTGAGTTTGTTAGCTGTGATAGTTCTCTTCGCCGTGTGAGGGAGGGCAAAATGGGAAAACAAATACCAATTTCAATTCTTTCTTAATCTGAGTGCCGGTCAAACTTTGCAACTCAAATCGGGACGGAGGGAGTATTAAATAATAATTGTGGTAGTGCAAAAATACGGGTTCCGGGCCATGTCGGATTGTTGGTCATGGGTTTGGGCCGGCCCTTTAGAATAGAATTAGTATAAGAGTGGGAAGAAGGAAAGAACGGGGTAGGCTGGAATTCTGTTAGAATTGGGCTGGGAGAGTGGGACCTACCGAAGAGTCCCAACGTTAGAATTGGGCTGGGAGAGCGGGACCTACCGAAGAGTCCCAACTATCTGTTCCGCCATTGTAACTCTGCTATCTTCATCCAATACACTACTGATTTCTCTGCTCAACCAGAGTCACTATCAGACAAGCTTCTAGCTAATTGCTAAACAAGACCTATACCATAGTGATTCTACTATCCTTGGAAGCCAATTAGGGTTAAAAGTTTCTAAGGCTTTGTTTGCAACCACTTGTGCTTAAATAAAAGCACTTTTTGGGAAAAAGTGATTAGTAGTAAAAGTTGGTAGTGTTTGGTAAAATAAGTGTTTTTTGTGTAATAGAAAAAGTAAAAAGTAGATTCTACACGAAAATCGAGAAAGTAAAAGTTGGTAGTGTTTGGTAAAATAAGTGTTTTTTTCTTTAAAAAAAAAGCCAAAATCACTCTTCTTAAGTGATTGCAAACAAGCCCTAAATGAATCTAAGCAATGTTGTAGCCTAAAGAGGGGTGAGTCAGAGAGTGATGTGAGGTTCTTGCAAGTCCGGTTGCCCCTTTCTCCGCTACGTATTGTCCTGTTTCTATCTAAATAGTCAATAGTCCTTCCCAACTTTCTTCCCTCAGAAAGAAACAAAATGTCATACTTTAAAAGTATTACTACCTCCCTCCAGCTAAGATTGTCTCATTTTACCATTTCGGTCCGTCCCACTAAGATTGTCTCATACCTTATTTGGTAAAGTTTGTGTGGCTCAGAATCATTCTTACTTTATTCTTACTTTATCAATTCAATATCAACCACATAAACCACTTTTTATAGATTTACGTGTCACTCCCTCTTGTCTCATTGTTAGTGGGACGGAGGGAGAAGTTTCTACTTTCTAACAACTCCTTTAAACTTTATGAAATACTTTCTTGTTACATGAGTAATGTAGTAGGATATGTCCTTTTGTTTGTTAGAGTAAATCGGCAGAAAGCTTTTGAAAACTCAACACATTATGATAGACTGTTACTGATTTCATGGTAAAATATAACAAGTGCAAAATCAAAAAGCAATACAAAGCAAAACTCCAAACAATAATACTGAAAAGAATAAAAACAGAAAGCATTCTAACAAGAAAATGTATAAAAATAGTTGTGCAAAGAAAATAATCAACAACACCCAAGCCTTATTCCCAAAAGAGTTCGAGGTCGGCTAACATGAATCAGAAAAAAAAATTGGAAATATTTAAGGACTGACAAAAATCAAATGTTCCAAAGCAATAATTCTAACAACAATTCTAATCAAAGAATACTTTCCAAACCCTAAATCTGATATGATGAATAGACGCCCAGACGGTGTATATACCAATTTTCATAAAATGTATCATGTTGATCCTTTAACTATGAATTCTGACGCAATAGGATTATAACAAAACAACAAATGACACATAAATCCCTATAGAGAAGACCAATAAATCTTTATTTATAAGCTCATATTTAAGGCTATAAGATAATGAAATGTATGCTCCTTACCTGTTCAGTGGAAGTATTTGAATTCAACAATGCTTATCGGCAAAGGAAATCAGCAAGTAATTTTCATTTTGAATTTAATTTGATCCTACGCAACACTACACATGAATAAATTCAATTTTAAATACACTTTCGCATACTATCATTTCAGCTCAATAGTTAAAAGCATACCTCAAACTGTCGAACACCATTTTAAATTCAGCACATCATGTTGACTTCAATTCATCCACGAATTTACTGAGAAACACAAAATATTGTATAAATATATTGGTTGAGCACTGAGTAGCCAGAACTAGTTCTAACTTAAACTCTACAATATCTTAACAAGTGAGAGTAACAAAATAATTATACTAACCTAACAATACCAAGAGTATATAATATATGCACCTTACATCCAATATCCCAATCATGACTTCCATCTTTTATTGGATCCGAGTGTGAGACTAGTCGCTTGCAAAGGATTCATGAACAATACAATCAGCTTCAATCATACTGTAGCCTGGGGTTTTGAACACGCCATGTTGTGACATTACACCTCTAACATCATGAGCACTGTCCCAGTTTCCTTTTGAAGCATAGATGTTGGACAATATAACATGAAAACCATCATGGTAGGGCTGAAGCTCAAGAAGTTTCCTACCAACCCGATTTCCCATTTCACTGTCGCCATGCTTTTTGCAAGCTCCAAGCAAAGCGCCCCAGGTGGGAACATCAGGAGCCATAGGCATGCTCTGAATAAGCTTTTCAGCTTCTTTAAGCAGTCCTGCACGGCCAAGTAAGTCAACCATACACCCATAGTGTTTCAAATTAGGTTCAATATTGTACAACTTCACCATTGAACCAAAATAATGACGACCCTCATCCACCATACCCATATGCCGGCACACACCAAGAACTGCAAGCATGGTTACCTCATTGGGAGTTGCTCCATATTTCTTCATCTCTTCAAATATTTCAAGAGATCTTTGTACCTGTCCATTCATGGCCAATCCAAGAATTAGAGCATTCCAAGAAGAAACGCCAGCGTCTTCCATTCCATAGAAAACCTCCATTGCATTCTCTGTGCATCCACATTTCATGTACATGTCAATAAGAGTGGTACCTAGAATGTTATTAACCTTAATGCCTTTTTGCCTTATATACCCATGAATCCATTTGCCTTGTTCAAATGCTGCAAGGTGGGCACAAGCTGAAACCACGCTAACTAAAGTTATCTCATCAGGCTCAATCTGTCCATGTAGCATTTCCTGAAATAAAGCTAAAGTCTCTATAAACTGATCATGTTGAGCATAGCCAGAAATGATTGTGGTCCACGAGACACGATCTTTCTCAGGCATAGAATCAAATATCTCCTTGGCTTTTTCTACTGATCCACACTTCACATAACAAGCAATTATTGAGTTCCAAGAGATTTGGTTCAAATGAATACTTGTATCAAACACGTTTTGTGCCGAATTTACGTCACTGCAACAAGAGTACATATGAATTAAAGCATTTTGAAGATTAACATAAGATTCAAAACCAACCTTTGTGACCATCCCATGTACTGATTTTCCGGTCTCTAGAATCAATAAATGTGCGCAAGCTGAGAGCACACTGACTGCCACAACTTCATCTATAGTAATCCCAATGGAAGTCATGCGCACGAACCAATCCCAAGCCTCTCTATAAAACCCATTTTGCTCATGGCAAGAAATCAATGCGGTCCAGGAAACCAAATCGTTGCCAACCATTTCATTAAACAAACGACAAGCCTCAACCACCATGCCACACCTACCTAACAACACGATCATAGAGTTCGATGCGATTACATTCTTCTCCGGCATGTGATCATAGATTAGCATTGCTTCCTCAACATTCCCCACTTGAACATACCCTGCCAAGATTGAATTCCAAGAAACCGAATCACACACAAGACTTTCATCAAATACCTTCCTGGCATCACCAATATGTCCACACACAGCGTACATGTTAATCAAAGTATTATGAACATAGACATCTGATCTGAAACCCCTTTGGAAGACATGACTGTGTAACTCTCTACCTTCAAATATTGAACACCGGAGAACGCTAGCTTGAAAAAGAATTGGGTACGTATAATTATCCATGTACAAGTTATCTCTCAATGTTGATTTATACAAAAACAATGAATTTTGGGGCAAGTAATGATGCACATAAACTCTCATCATGGTGTTTATCGAAAAACAATTCGGATTTTCAATGTGACCAAATATCATTTCAGTGTATTTGATGCCGATGAAGGGAGAATCAGCTGAAAACTTGAGAATTCTGCTAGCGGCATAAGTGTCTTTAATGAACCCAGTGGACACCATCTGTGATAGAATCTGCGAGAAGTACTTGAAATTCTGGCAGTGAAGGAGATGAGACTCCAAAATCGAGAGGTTCATGGTCAAACTGGAAAAAGATCAAGAAAACACCGAATTTGGTTGCGACGGAAGCACCTAACGTTTTGAAGTTAATGTGTATTCACATGTACATGGAACTGTGCACCTATGAATCAAATCAGTTTTGTCATTGAGTGGTGGTTGTAGACTTGTAATAGAGATGTGATCGAAAATGCAGAGATTTTTCAGGCAAGTTTGCTTGATATAGCTGAGCATGACTTCATAACAAGGAACATTTATATAAAAACTAAAGATAAATGATGTGTGATGCCATTATAAGAGAAAAAACATTTTAACAAGAGTAATAATCATAATAATAAAAGTCATACTAAGGTGCTATAAGGAATCAAATAAGATGATGACTAGTGGTAATCAAGAGCAGAATGAGAGTCATGCATATCCATCATCTTCTCGAGCAAACAACCTTGAGCAAGCTACTACCAATACCAATCATTGTGAATGTCTCGTTGCTAAAGCTGTCGATCCAAATGGAAAGGTTTTTCCGTTTCATGTATCTGAGCTGAAGTATTGGGAAGGCAGAGGAGCGAGGATGAAGCTGAATGACATGGTTGTTTCTTACTCCCTACCTTGAGGACAAGGTGGATGTCAAGGGGCATGATAGGGACCTAGATAGTGTTAGTAATAAGAATAATATTGTCTTTTAATAGTGTATAGTAAAAGGAGTTTAGGCCCTGTAACTAAATAGCAATGGGCTGGCCTGTTACGGACGTAGCCCATACTAGGCCCATACCAGTGCCATAAGCCCAGGTGTAGAACTCACTCCTAAAAGACCAGCCGATTAGGAGGAGGGAACACCTTGCTTATAAGCCACCAATCAATCCCATAATTGGCCGGTGTGGGATCGTAACAATACCCCACGCTTCGAAGTGCCAACGTCCTCGTTTGTCACGGCTATGTTGGTCACGGTTGGCACCCCCAGGGCCCAAGCCACCACTCCATGGGCCACCACTCCGAGTGTCAGGACTAGGAAGATGGGGACGGCTCTGATACCAATTGTTACGGACCTAGCCCATACTAGGCCCATACCAGTGCCATAAGCCCAGGTGTAGAACTCACTCCTAAAAGACCAGCCGATTAGGAGGAGGGAACACCTTGCTTATAAGCCACCAATCAATCCAATCAATCCCATAATTGGCCGGTGTGGGATCGTAACATGGCCCATAAGGAATTTGATAAATATGAGTTGGGGCGTAGAATAAGGCAGGCAGAAAATTAGTGGGAATAGGGATGTGGGAGAGTGAGGCCTCTCGAAGTGCTTCGTCTGTATTTTTTTTCCCCGTTTCTGCACTTTTCCTTGCTAATAGATGTCAATGTACTGTTATGAATTTTTAGTTCCTATCAGACGACAAGCTTGATGTCCAAGAGGGGAGTAATGATATAAGCAAAGAAACCCAATATTGTTATTATTAATCATATGTGTGCTTTAGGCAACTTCTTAATTAGCATTTATCTCATTCTATAATTATTCCTATCATATTGAAATAAAGTCATACCTTATATGATGTTGAAGAGTCCATTTATTTTTGCTCCTCAACAAATCGGAACAGTTTTCGTAAATTTCAAATTTACTTATATTGGTAATTGTTAAAACTAACATTATAGGATGAAAATTAAGTAAAAAGAGACCAATAACCTTTGATGGGTTATTTATGCCCTGCAAAACTGCTACTTCATATTATATACTCCATATAATTTGAAAAGCAAATCCTTACTGGAAAGTGGCTAAGATAAATTGTAAATAATTCAGTGCTTAATATAAACAATCCTAGAAAGAGACGAAAATAAATTTGAAATGTACTCAGTATAAAGTATAAACATTTGAATATTTCAGCTTCTAGGTTCGAAAAATTCATGAAACATATATACTGCTAAAAAACCGAATAAACCCAAACCCATGAACTTTGAAGCTATTCCAAAGTCGTAGGAAATTTCGATGTATCCATCTTTTTTTACCGCAGGTAAAATGAACTGAAGTATCAATCTCTTTTATACCACAAGTAAAATGAACCCCTTTCTTAAATCCCAACTATTGAATTTCGAAAATGTAATTCTAGAACACCCTTACATTCACCTTCACTGAATTGAAATCTAATTTAAAGTCTCAGCCTTTGTCCCAGGTTAATTAGCAATAAGGCTTAAATTCTATAAAGTAAAAGAAGGCATACAAATTAAGACATTCTCAAACAAGGAATCCATTAAAAATCAATGCCAAAGAACCATTTGCACATCAATGCCAAATACTGTCCAGATATCCGGTGTTTAAGTGAAAATAGAAAAAGATGAATTTGAGTGAAAACACTGATCTTTGGCAGAACGAAAATGAATAGAACAATAGAAATTTAATTCATTTACCAGTTTGAGAAGAATATGACCGAAGGTTGGGGGAAATGGTTGTTAAATAGAATAGCATCACTATTTCCCTCCATTGTTCTTCGAAGAAACTCTGCAGCTTTCGAGAGAAAACACGAGTAAGGAAGGGATGGGTATGAGAACTGAGAAGTGGATGGCGGTGATCAGTGTTTAGAGCATGCCTGGGCGGCGGAAGATGTCGCAGAGGGAAAGATTAATTAGGCTTAATTAGGGAAGATGTCGCAGAGGAAAAGTGATTTTGGCTTTTTTAAGAAAAAAACACTTATTTTACCAAACACTACCAACTTTTACTTTCTCGGCTTCCGTGTTGAATCTACTTTTTACTTTTTCTATTACACAAAAAACACTTATTTTACCAAACACTACCAAGTTTTACTACTAATCACTTTTTATCAAAAAGTGCTTTTATTTAAGCACAAGTGGTTGCAAACAAAGCCTTAATACTCTCTCTTTCCCAATTTACCGGTTTATAAACAGATTGTGCTCAATTTTTTTTTAAGAAAGAAAAAATATTACATATTTAAAAATTACATTAAAGTTTACTAAGTTACAAACACTTGAATCAAATTTGGTAGAAATTTAATATATAAAGTACATAAAGTAAAAGATTAAGAGTGATTTGTGTTGATCATGTGAATAAGAACTGATACCAAAAGGTAGTACTCCGTAGCTCTTTTGGTGAAAATGTTTGTTTTAGCACCCAACTTTTTCACCAAATACGTAACTTTTGATGTTTTTGACTGCATTGGTCGAAGTAACTTTTTCATTTTAGGTGTTTTTTCATATAAATATTTCTTGGTTTTCTTAATAAAATATATTTTAAATATAATTTTTTCATAAATCAGCAAAATCAACCAATACAACCACTTCAGCCAAAACTTTATAAATTTCATCAGAATCAGTCAATACATCCGATTTGGGTGTTACTAAAAGGGATCTAAGTCGGTGACATTTCTTAAAAAATGTTACTCCGTACAAAGTAAAAAATGTTACTAGTACATTTTATATTTTATTTTTATTTTCATTTTTTTTATTTTTTGATAAATAATCAAATTTGGATTCTTTTACCAATTCATCATTTTTATTGATTTTTAACTAATTTAAAATGGTTCAATATTTTCGGATGATTAGCTTTTAAATTTTTAATCGGGCATTTCATTTTGTTATTTGAATTTCATTTTTTTCAAGCTTGTTAAATTGACTTTTTTACTCTTCTTCGTTATATATTTTATATTTGTTACTGTATACTTATAATACCTAACATGTTATGAAATTTTAATTTCGAAATTTATATAAGTTTTTCCATAAACTACCTGAAAAGCTAATAAGTAAAAATGATATATAATCTTTTCTGCCCTTTCTATTTATAGAAAATTTAATTTAATTTTTTGAGTCCAATAGAATTCAACAGATAGTTCGGATTATTATAATCTGATATTTCTTTTTCAATTAACTAAACAGGTAACCGGTCACGTTGGACCATTATTGGCGAAAGGCCCCTGAAGTTAGGATTATTCTAAAATAATCGATAGTTGAGATTATTATGAGCGGATCGTCAATAGTTGAGATTATTGTTATCAATTTTCGTTGTATAAATGAGCAAGAACTCAAATGTAGGAGGATTTTACTAAATTATGGCTGATTTTTAAAAATGTGATCACTTTCAAGTCATATATGATAATAAGAAAGAATAGAATTCACTTCTTTTCTCTTTTCTTATTGTGATATGTTTTCCCTCTATTTTTTATTTCTTTGTGGGTTAATGATCTTTGGAACAATGATAGCAAAGAAGAGAGGAAAAAAAAGCATTTTTTGGTTCAATTAATTTCTCAACATCTTAGTCTGTGATTATGAACATAGAAATGATAAGAAAGGAAATTATTACTCCTTTATTACGGAGTATATCCTTCTCTTCTTGGCCTGCCATCTTAGGACATCATAAGTTTTACTTTCGAGGTTATCATTCGTCTCACTGGATATCATAATTCCTTTCAAATTTAAATGCTTCAATTCATTTTTATAAAGTTTTCTTAGGGTCATCGAAGGAGTCACTTAAAATGTGGAATCATGGTATTTCAGTATCAAGTAGTACTTATTCTCACATCTTACCCTTTATTTTAAATTTACTTGCAATTTTTAATACGATTAACATTTTTTTTTCCTACAAACTATCATTATATATTCAAAGTTAAAACGTATAAGCTCTACTATATTTTTTATTTAAAACAATTGCATATTATGTACCATCATAAACAAAGTTAATATTAAAGAAATTGTTATTCTGCTCTAGATGTATCGTGCATCACACCAGTATTCATCTAGCTAGTGAGTTATTTAATTTGAAAGTAATACGGGTTACACGTGGGTAGAGTTACGCGGGCTGTTGACATGAACCATTGCACATGATTTCTGAATTTTAATGTCCACCTACATGACTCCAACATGAGGTGGGTGACTATTCTACTTATTACGGCTTTGTCAAAATTTATAAGATGTTAGCAATATACCATTGTGGATGCTCTAATATGCTTGTAGTTCGTACTTAGTTTGTCCTCAGTAAAGGTTTCCATTTCCTTTATCATGTTTGACTAGTCATAAAGTTAACTGTTTCTATCAATAATAAAATTATTTTTAGTAAATAAAATCACATATTCAGAAGTTACATTAAAGGTTTTATGAATCGGGAAAAAATCAATTTTGATAAAAGGTGGATAGATAAGGTAAAAGATTAAACAAAATTTACGTTGAGAATAATTAGCGGGAACCTTTACCTAAGACGGGGTAGTAACTATTGGTCATATTTTTATAAATAAGCTTTGTTTCAGGAATAATTTTGAAAAACATGTTCTCACATAGGGTAGCTAAAAGACTTTTTTGCCAAATTATAATTGTCACAGCTTGGGTTTTTAAATATCAAGAAATGTTGCGTCTATTTATATAAAAAAAAATGTGGTTGAGATTTGAGTTTAATAAAATAAAATATTGTGGATCACATATTTCTTTCAAGAAACAAAAATATGAAACTTTTGGGATAACTCAAAGAAGATAGTAAGTGACGGCACTAAAGTCGTGTGTGACTCAAAATAAATTCAATAATTTCCCTAATACCACAGTATATTGAAGTATAATTTGTATCCACAAGAAAAAGTAAATTTCTTCATTATGAAATTGTAACCAAAAGGGGGTTTAAGATTGATTGATTTAATATAATTAAACACTAAGATGAAAGACTTATGTAATTTTGAAAATATGTATAAAAGTATACATGTTTTATCTTATTTGAACACATGTTTTCAGTACAATAAAATTGATTTGTGCAGGCATTACAAAATTGCCTCTAAGAATGGGAAAGAAGCCTCTAATGCTTTTTTAGGCAACTTAGTGGTTGCCATCAAATAATTCGTCGCAAAATGATGGTTGCCTCTAAAACCCCCTCTTTAGAGACAAAAAATTGTATGCTTCTAAAAAGATATATTTAGAAGCAACTGTAGCCTTTTGCCTCAAAATGTCACTAGTGGCAACTATTTTTAATGACTCAAGATGTTATTAGAGGCACTATTATCTACCGCTCCAAAAAATCATCAGATGCAACTTTAAATGCTGTCGTGAATGATTTTTAGAGGCAGCCTTAATGCTAAAGTACACAATATAGCAGTTCGTGACAATTTTATTAATTTGCATTGATTTAGTAATCCATAGATGCCCAATTCCATATACTTCTTTAAATATTAAAATTACACTAATACTGACAAAAAAATATCAATATAAAATTTTATTTAACAGTTGATTGTTGTAAGTTTGCAACTACATATATAATATGTTACAACATGCTACCCAATTCCATCTACCATGAATTTGTGTAAAACTAAACTAACTAAAGCTAATAAACATGTAGATGTAATGATATTATAAAAGTTCAAGGACAGCACAGAGAGATCACTCTTCTTCTTCATCGTACTCATCATGTTTCTCATCATCACCATCATCGATAACTTGTCCCTTTGTTATGCTCCTTGCCAACTTGTCATATTGCAATGAAATTTGATGGTTCCAAGTGAGGTAAAAGTCTAGAGGAGGGGGTGAATAGTCTTTTAAAATCTTTTCGTTTTCAACCATTTCTCCTCTAACATAATGAGTTCCAATATCTTTTGGGAGATACTGAAACATACAGCGGAAGTCTTGACCTCAAGCGTGTGACACTTTATAGTAACAAAGGTTATGACCCTTTGAGTGAGAGATGGGGTAAACGGGATGCAAATGTGTTTGCCAAGATCAGCTGGCTCAAGGAGCAGGTTGCTAAATCTTCAGGGAGCAGACTGCCAGGTAACTGGGAGTTGGCTATTGAACACTTTTGGAGCTGAGCAGGCTGCTGATTAAGGCTGTTGTGTTAATGTTTAAGGCACAGAGATGATCTTATGACCTTGAACATTGTTTGACGTTTGTGAATAGACAAAACACATATGTATGAAGGATTTAGACCTATCAAAATAGATCACTCTGATGAATAGAAACGAGTATGATTCACAGTGAACTGGGAAGTTCACTTGACGGTTTAGTAAGCAAGCTGTTTTGCTGGGAAGTTGTGAAGGTGAGTGAGAACTGAAGTGTGTATTGGGAGCAGAATATAAAAGGTGACACAAGATATATTCTGGTTCAGAGGTGGTGTAATCATCCTACATCTAGTCTCAACCTATTTTAGATAGATTTCCACTAAATGAATATCCCATTACATTTAGTGCTCAATCTACTTTTGACTCGGGCGTAGATTGTGAGGATTTTCACAAGGGATTTGAACATCATTCCAAGCTACTCATTCCTCCAAGGTTTTTCACTAATGACATTGACTTGCCAGAAGCTACTCATGTCCTTGTCTTTCTCACCTTGTGGATTTGAACACAAAACCCTACAGAATGTCTAAACACTAGTCGAGTTTACATGGGTGAAAACTAAACTACCAACTAAGCTAAGCTCTATAGGTTTGTATGAATTTGAGCTATTCTAAGAGAATTAGATGAGTGGGGTGAGAACCGAAGTGGTGAAGGGGAATTAGCTGGTTGGATGTGTGCTTGTAAAACTTGATTCCCTTCTATTTCGCTCGGCTCTTCCACTTGTTTCTTCCCGCACTCCTTCTGGATTTATAGATTGGTTGTTGAATCTCCACTGTTGGTTAAGGAGCTCAATCTTGT